CAACATAACCTAGAAATGGCCTAGCGTAACAAGCACGACACTTCGAAAAGCTCCTGCTTGTTACGCTAAGCCAGAAGAGGCTGCTCTACATGGTCACCATAGTTTGAGGGGTAAAGATTTGTCTTCTAACAAGATGCTCTAGGAAAGGACTAGCGTAACAAGCAGGAGCACTTGAAAGCGTCGTGCTTGTTACGCTAAACCAAAATTGGTAGTATACAGAAAAAGCCTACAAGTAGACCCATCCGTTCCGGGCCGGACTAGCGCGACGGAAGACAGGCAGCGACGGAAGACAGGGAATCGTTCTTGGCCAGGAAGCCTTTTCTGATGAAGTATGTTTAATTGCAGAATACCTCCTGTTGACCCCGTGCATAATTCGCCTATTCAATTCGCTGACACGATGGCGCCAAACGGTTATCTGTCTTCAGCTCTAGCCTTGATCAAGGTTTGTAGATTTTAACAAAATTGTGCTGTGGCTGATTTATCTAATAAGATAAAGCGTTTTGCAGACAATTGGTTGCAAATCAGCGATGCAATCGACTACGATGATCTTGTAGCCTTGGTAGATGCGCTCGACTACTTGAAAAAGGACGCTCAAGAGAAAATGACCATCAGGAGAGCTAGCCAAGCGAACATGCAAACCCATTTACGGCCTGCATGCGTGGGTGGTGCTAATCAAGGGGTGCGACGGTCTTCTCGCCGCCTCGCATCCGCTCCTCAATATGCTTCAACAGGCTCGTTGTTTGTCTCTGAAGATGAGACGGAGTCTGAGTCCAGTAGTCAAAACGATGGGATACGGTCAACAATGCTCCGCGAAGAAAACTACGATGAAAATGAAACGAGGAACGCTGCAGCAGAGATTCTGATGAATCATCCGACCTTGTTACCGGTCGACAACGATAGCCAAGCGGACAAAATTCATCTCAAGAAGAATTTTGGGGACACAGTATCCCAATTGAGGCACCCCATAGAGCAAGAACAATCCTCTCCTGCGCCCTATACAGCAAGGCTGGTTAGTAACGAGCAGGATGAGTGTACAGATGTACAGCCAATGCAGGACCTCAATGAAGCCCCAAACGTCCAAGTTCATCAGGAAACCAGTGATACTGCTCTATACCAATCATTGGAGGATCCAGAAGATGTTGAAAATCAGCAGTTTCCCGAGCTTTCCCATTCTAGTTTGGTCCATCAGCCACAACTAGGCTTAATGGATCAGGATATCTCAGATTCACTTTTCGGTGGCGAGGAGTTTGGAGTCGGTATTTTCAATAATCTACCTTCGCCTCAGTATTTCAATGAAACATTTGAAGACTTGTATTCTACCTCTGTACATGACGAGGTGCAGAGAGACGTCGAAGAGACCACCACATACCCTGACGAACAACATCCGACCAACCAAAGTCACACAGAACATTTTGACGGTGATCCAACAGTTCAGGGCTATGTGGATCTCGCTTGTCGTTTGGGCTTTCGCCTTCCGCACGAAACCGCAGATGATGCAGATTGTGTTGATGTTCAGGAGGTCCTAGTACCCTTAGTGAAAGAGACGCCCCTTACGTCAAGACTCCTCCATGGTATACTGTATACGCTACTGCCCGGCCCAACTCTCATTGTTGATTTTTGTTCTGGTGCATTCGATCCAGAGGCGGTAGAGGGAAGTACCTGTACCGATTTTGTAGCAATCGTACGCCGAAATGAAGACAGTTCGCCTCTGCTTGTGGTAGGGCTAGAGACGAGCAAAACGTTCTTCATTCTTGATAGCGAAACATGGGACCTACCTTCTCTTGGGATTCCGTGGCTAATACGCCCAAAATGGAGGACGGAATATACTGATGTAGGTCAATCACCCACTCGACTCCTGACACTAACTGACCTTCTTCAGCCACGAAGCATTGAGCCGCACATGGAAAGTACACTACTATCGGTTTGGATAGCAGAGGCCTACTTTCAGCACTGGCCCCTCCAGAACGTTCCATCCTCTCGCGACTTACGCCTACGTATCTTAGAGGAGTTGTTAGCGCCCTATCAACGCGATTATGTGCTCGAAAAGTGTGGCATCCCTAGTAAACTTACAGGGCCTGAACAGATTGATACCCAATGGAAGCTGGCCCGCTTGGAGACACAATTACAAACTAGCGAGGTTTTCGTACCAAATCTAGAGAACTTCGAGCTTGAAGCATTACGGGAATCACTTCTCCGGAAGCCTTCTGAGATAAATCGCGGACGTTGTCTACGCATTTTGCAATGTGTGAACGAGATCGGATCTCCCCATATTCTTGAATCACTCAAACTGGCCTGTACCAGAAAAGACGAATGCCAAACCTATTCAGCAACAGAGCAACCCATCTTCGAAAAACTATTCCACATCCATATCTACCTAGACAGGCAACAAAGCCAAAGTCATATTCTGGTTGCCAGAAATCGATATATTAAATATTGCTACTTTGAGACATATCTGCGTGCTGTCAAAGCGCTGCAGGAGGAGAAGCGCAATAGTACACAAGAGAGACGAAGAGTCTCAGCTCGAAAACGGACTACTAGCTTCAAGCAGGGTATTTCTGAGATACTGCCCCCTACTCCACATACTGAAGAAATACATCGAGTTTACGAAAATCTGAGTCCTTCAGAAAAAAAAAGGCGGGCTCCCGATATGGTCAAAGATGAGATTTCAAAGAAAATTGTAAAAGAATATGGCGGGAATGAAAAGCGAATTCGACGCAATATAAACAAATACATTAAGGACGGGAGAGTACTACACCATATTCTTCGAGGCGAGAGATCCTTGGACCCAGCCTTGCTTATCCTGTTTCCAAGCTTCGGATCCGATTTGCCTTCGTTGAGTGTGACTCAATTTGGATTGGAGCTTGAGGAGCTTGAGGAGAAGGCTCTTAGTAAACCTATTCAACTGAAGGAGTAAGATACAATTCTATATGTAATCAAAATCCTACTAATATGATTGAGCAGTATAGATGAATTGACGCTAGTGGAGGCAGTTTGGTTTGGCGAGGTGTTGCAGGCTAGGCCGGAACTGCTAGAACCAGTACCGAAGGCTGTCCTTGATCTCATCTCGAATACCCTGACCCACGACCTTGATCTCCAAGGTCGTGATCCAGATAGCTTTCGGAGTAGACCGCTCCAATTCTTTATGTAGTAGAATATGATTTCATGCGTACTTAGATTACCGTGCCTTTTTTTGAGTGCAATCATGTTCGTCAAATGTGTCAGGTACTTAATTTTTCACTTTATATAATTCCCTTACCCCCAACTCTGACACATCTACTCGCCTACCCAACACAGCCATTTCTTAAACATTTTCGCTACTAGATTGTTGTCCAAACGGCGAGATGAAGACGGAACCTGGGAGCAATACAATCAACCAAGATGCATGGCCTTGTTTAGGCGCTATTAGTATTGACCGCCTGAATGTGCTTATATTTTGGGAAAGTTCATGGCTTTCAACACATGAGTACCATGCACTTCGTCAAGATGGAAATCAGGGGTGGCTTGTCCACGCTCGAGGCGAAAACGAGCTACTCATTTCCTGGGAGCCTACTATTGAAAGGAAGTCGATTCAATCCTCCCCCCAAGACCTACTTCATGAGTTTCCTATAGAGGTCCGAAAAGATCGACCTGGTTTGCTTGGGTATGTCGCGGCGAAGGCTTTGCCCCCATATTTAAACGCGGGTAGCCGTTTCCCAGCATTTCTAGCATACTGGAAAGTCGCCCGAATGACCAAGGGTCTTTTTTATTATCTACAGCAAATTTATTCCAGCCACCGGGGCTACATTGTTCACGAAGAGTTAGACAAAGTCTGGATACAGTGGGAACCTACGTGGGTGGTTTACGAAAACTTGAATGAAAGTAAGAGAGAGCAGCTCTTACAAATATCCCACGATCCCGAGGCTATATTGCATCGCTTCCACAAGGCAATTGTTCACTACTCCATGCGCTCAGTGGTAGAGAGGAGAATAAGTAAGAGAACAATAAATTAAAGGAGGCTATCTACGCTTCGGTGCTAAATCCGCATCTGTATGAATATATGTGCTGCAAATACTATCTTCAGGGAGAATACAACTACTTAATATAGTAGATAGTTAATTTATAAAGTAAGTAAAATCTATACCGAATGTCCCTCTAAATACTCGGGCCCAACGGCTGCTGTAGCAGAATTTCAATGAAATTGCCCGTGCTCCGCACGGGCCTATCACCTCAACGATAATATCACCTCAATG